GGCGAACCTAAAACTACTCTAAAAACTAATCTATCACCAAAAAGCTTTAAAAATAAATACACACAAAGAGCAGTGAGATTCTGAGTTGCCATAGCAGTGAAGTTTGTAGTGAGGAGGGTGTGTACAAAAAGCTCATTTTGTAGGGTGGGGAGGGGTGGGGATGGATTAGGTTTATTTCTTTATTTGTTTTTAATGGAGGTACTGAGGACTGAACCTAGAACCGCATGCATGCTAGGCACTCTACCACTGAACTATACCCTCCCCACTAAAAACCTCATTTTAGTACATGACTTGTGAAGCAAATGGGCCTAAGTTGGCTGTCTATTTCTGAACACACAGTAACACAGAACCAGGAAACTTACTGAGATCACTTAACATATTATGAAGCAGAAAAGAGTAGAATATGCAGTATGTTTCATTGATGACACGTTCATATTAAATTTCTTTTGTTCTCCAGGCTTCCCCCTTGATATTCACAAATTTCATAAACATGGCAATGATCAAAGAAATGTTAAATTAAATTTACTCATATAAAAGCAGTACTTATAACTTTTGGGGCTGCAGTAATATGTCTATGAATGTATTTAACAAAACTGTAACCAAAGCTCTTGTAGTTTTAAAAACATGATAAACTATTTTCTACCAAAAAGTCTTTACTATATTTATTTTTAATGATTATTAAGTTAATATACCAAAAACTCTTTCATAAATTCACATATTTTGGCATTTGAGTAGGCTTTTCCTTTTGTATTTTTATTCTGTCGTTGTTGCCATTGTTTTCCCTTTTCGTGCCGAGTTCTATTATAAATATCTGTGCAGTAAACATTATGGTGACTAATCTAATATCGAGGTTCATTGTGTTTCTAACATAGGCCACAATACAGATGGGTGAATAGAGAGTAACTTCCAGGAATATCATTTTAGCCAAGAACCATGAGCCCTAATGTCTAGAATCACAAATACTGATACAGGCCCTCAAAAAGTTCAATTCTGACACTGTTTCCTGAAAGTAGCAAAGTAAATTAACGTATGTGAGAAATCTCTTATGATCCCATCTGATTACATCAAATTTAATTTCCTAACTATGACAACACTTTTTTTAAAAAAACCCAAAACTTTTATGGCATGAAAAACAACTGTATAAGATATGCATGCATTATTTTACTATTAAAATTTTTATTATGACTATGGAAAATATATTTTCTTGAAAAATATTTTTTTTTAAATAATGATCCAATGTGAAATTTTAAGAGACAGAACTAAATAGCCTACCTAAGTGATGAAAAAGCAGTGGAAAGGGAAGTTTATCAAACTACACTTTTTTCCAATAGAGCTTTGAATCCTTTATCCTGTTTTTTATGTTTCTTTTTTGAGAGCAGTTTGAAGAGTTAGATAACTGAGATGGAAACAGGCAAGTATATGGCTTTCAAGTGAATTAGTTTAGACAGCAAGAAAGAACCTAAACTCTTATCTCAGTTTTGAAGGCAGGAATTTTCTTATTATTAAATAGATAGGAACACAAAAATAGTTCTATGTATACTGAACTCAGTTCGAACTCATGAAACAGTGACTTATTTCTCTAGTCTCTCTCCTACAATAAGGTAACTTTAATGTACAGAACAGCATAACATATTCACTGTTGTTTATTATCTGTATTATGATTATGTCAAATACTAAAGAAAACAAAAAACCCACAATATTCTGGGGATTACTTATGGAAGTGTAATGACCTATGATCTTTTGAGTTCCAGTTTGTCCTATTTTAAGGAGGAAAGAAAAATGAAGAAAATGACTTATAGAAAAAGCAGGTTGTGAAAAATGACAAAGCTGCTCCAGTGTGCTAATTTATACAGACTGAGATCCAAATTCAGAACCATACAGTAAGCACTTTACTCGCCTATAAGCACTTTAAAGGCTATGTAAGTAAACAATCTTACAGTTACCAGGGAAAGGGGGTGGGAACGGATAAATCTGGGAGTTTGAGATTTACAAATATTAGCCACTATATATAAAAACAGATTTTACAAAAAGTTTCTTCTGTATAGCACAGGGAACTATGTTCAATGTCTTGTAACCTTTAATGAAAAGGAATATGAAAAGAAATATATGTATGTATATGCATAACTGGGACATTGTGCTGTACACCAGAAACTGACACATTGTAACTGACTATACTTCAACAGAAAGGAAGAAAGGAAGAAAGGAAGAAAGAAAGGAAAGAAGGAAGGAAGAAACAAAGAAACAAAGACACAAAGACTGTGTAGCTTTGTTTCTGGAGCAAAGGTGCTTCCCACTCTCCATCTAGCCAAAAAAAAAGACTACACGACCAAAGCTGAAAAATTTAAAAAGCAATTTTAATGCTTGGGACTCAGTTACAATAATATGAGACTACTTCAGAGCCCTACTGCAATGAAAACGATGACAGAATAAGGGAGTAGACTCAAAGGATATATTAGTGGGCCGTGACATATTATCCTGAGAAACATAATGCATCATTCCAGCATCCTTCTAGATTAGCTCAAAGCTAAGTGTATTTCATCAAAAAAGCTAGAAATGACTTTCCCAGGCATGTAGACTTATCCAGTAAAAGAACCTAATCTTGAATTTATTTCAAAAGGGATTCTCAACGACTATACAGCACCTCCTTAAGGGAGGCCAGTACAAATGTAGCAGAATAAATCTTCCCCTCAAAAAGGTGAATCTCTGATCAGAGCAACAGCTGAGCTTTGCTGTAAAGCTAGAGGCTAGGTACACAAAGAAATCTGTATGACTATCTGCTAAATTAAAAAATTGAAAACATTAACACATGCATTATAATTTTAGCAATAAGCAGCAAAGGTTTAAAGCCTCAACCTTAAATTAACTATAATATACATTGGTATTAAAAAATTATCCCCAATTTTTGAACAATTTAACTACTGCTAATTAAAAATGACTATGTCCCTGTGGCTACAGCATAACTATCACAGCTACTGAGCTACAGAGGCAACTTTACAAAGGATAGTATCTAAAAAAAAAAAAATCTTCAGAGAAGTTCATAATAGACATCTCTTACCTCATAAATGTTGGGATGCCACATTTTGGTCAAGAATCTGAAGGTAGGTGGTGAATATGGATAGTCAATAGGAAATTTAATATGCGCCTGAAAAGAAAAAAAAATAAAATGCTAATAAATGAGACTACAGGTTATTCATCTACCTAACAATTCACCCTAATATACCCCAGGGAAACAAAACTTCTTTCTATACAGTAGACTCCGGGGATTAAAATAGCTCATATATATTTTGTTAGCTCCAATGCCAGGGTTATTTTTAGTATGTTCTTATAACATCTCTTCAAATATTTATAAAAGTTTATGTTAAATTATCAAAGCTCAACAGTTATGTGAGTTTTAATTGAACACAGGAGTCAAAAGTAGTAATATGTACAGGTGTGTCACATTAACAGCTGTATTTTATTTTTATAATAAAAAAGTTAATATAATCTTATTGTACATAATATAGAACAAAGATAATTTTTTAAACTAACACAATTTAACCCAGAAATAATAAATGCTACCATTTTGATATGGCTCCTTCCAAGAGTTTTTGATGCATACATATGCTTACATCTTTACAAAACTTATTTTAAAAAATTTGAGCACTGTATTTTATAATCTGTTTTTTCCATCTGTATCATATCACAAACATTTTTTGCTGTCATAAAGTAGTTTCCAAATGTGTGACTGTTAGTATCTGCATAACATTCCATCATATGGATATATAGATGAATCATTTTTTAAAAACTATCTCCTTATTTTGGGACATTTGGGTTGTTTTTCACTCTCCCACTACTGTAAATACTGCTATAGTGAATGTCCTTGGCAGTATACCATATTTCAAATATGAAGAACTCCAGAAAAGAACTCATCTAACAGTATCAGTAAAAGAGTAAGGAAGGGAATAAAAGTACAAGCTAAGAATAAGTAAGCTAAGAAGAGCAGTAAAAATGGCAGAGTCAGAACCCTCAAAAATTCTGTCTTCAATGAAAGCAATTCAAAAAACAGCAAAAAACTGTTAAGAATCATGTTTTTCAAAATCTAGAAAATAACCAAAGGCATGCAGGAACTCAGGGAGCATCTATTAAAGAAAATCATAAACTTTGTGGTGTTTGAACTTGCCCTAGTCCTCTCTCCAGAGCCATGGTAGCCTTAAAACTAAAAGCTCACATTCAACGTGAAGACCAGCAGCCACAGAATGGGTTGAAACATCTTCGAAGCCTTATTCTCAAAGAACTTTCATTATTTGACCTTTCTGGTGGTTCCCTAGAAGACCATAGTTGCAAAGGCTGTCTGTATTTTACCTGATTTGGGGCTTGGCCAATGTGAAAGTATTTTTCCTGGGAGTAGCTGTTGAAAACAATGACAGGCAACTCTAACTTCAAAGGTGCCTGTTAGGGCAAATAATAAACCAAAACTTTTAACAGAAAAAGCTGAGATATGAGATGTCCACAGGGTTTTGAAAATCTGACAAATTTCTAAGAATCCAGAAGACCAGGTCAATGTGTAGGGCTGTGAATGTGTCTGGGCTATGTGCATGCTCTGGGAAAGTCATGAGAGGCCATTAGAAGGCCCTAAACTAGCAACTCTGGCTGAACTTAGGGATCTACACAACCAGGTAGTGAAGGTTAAGGCAGAGTTTCCAAGTACCTAAGTGTTAAAGGCATGCCCTCATACAGATTTATGATGTATATATCATGATCAAACTGTTCAAAGCCAAAGACAATCTTGAAAGCAGTAAGAAAAACTATCTATCAAGTACAAGGGAATCTCAGTAAGACAAACAGATGATTTCTCAACAGAAACCAGAAAGACAGAGGCAGTGGAATGACATTCAAAGTGCTGAAAGAAAAAAAACCTGTCAAGAATTCTATATCCAGCAAAACTATTCCTCAAAAATGAAGGCAATCTAAGACACCCTAGATAAACAAAAATTGAAAACTTGTGACAAGACCTGCCCTACAAGAAATACTAAACAGAGGCCTTCAGGCTGAAGTGAAAGCACACTAAATAGTACATAAAAAACATGAAGAGCACACATAAAAACAGTAATATAGGGTAAATATAAAGGATTTTTGTCCATTAATTTTCCCCCCTGATTTAAAAGATACATATAGTATAATAATTATAAATCTACTGATGGGCACAAAATACACAAAGAAGTAATTTGTATAATAATAAAAAACAAAGCTAAGGGAGGGATCAGAGCTATATAGGAGCAGATTTTATATACTATTGAAATTAAGATGTTATTAATTGAACTACATAATTATATGATATTGATTGTAATCCCAAGGGTAACTGCTAAGAAAATAACTCAAAAATTTAACACCCCTTGATGACTGAAAACACCCAAAAAACTATGAATACAAAGGAAATTCCTCAATTTGATAAAGGGCATCTGTTAAAACCGTAACATCACACTAATGGTAAAAGACTGAATGCTTTCTCCCTAATTCCAGAAATAAGACAAAGATGTCCACTCTCACCACTTCTATTCAACATTATACTGGAGATGCTAGCTGCAACTGGGAAATGAAATGAAACAAAAGGCATCTTAGTTGGAAAGGAAGAGGAAAAATTATATCTATTTGCAAATTATATGATTTTGTATATAGAAAATTTGAAGGAACCCACTATTAGAATAACAAATTCAGCAAAGTTGCAAGACCAAAGATCAATATACCAGCATCAGTTACATTTCTATATGGTAGCACTGAACAAACTGAAAATGAAACTAAGAAAATTCCATTTATTATAGCACCAAAAGAGGTAAAACACTTAGGAATAAATTTAACAAAATAAGTGCAAAACTTACACCCTGAATAGTACAAAACACTGTTAAAAATATTAAAGATTTAAATAAATGAAGTATTACATGTTCATATGGTGCAGGACTTAATATTGTTAAGATGGAAATCCTCCCCAAGCTGATCTAGAGATTCAATACCACTGTATGAAAATCCTTGCTACCTTCTTTACAGAAATGGAAAAGCTGGTACTAAAATTCATATACTAATTTAGGGGATCCAGAATAGCCAAAACAAATCTTGAAAAAGAACAACAGTTAGACAACTCACACTTTCCAATTTCACAACTTACTACAAATCTATAGTAATCAAGACAGTTTGGCATTAATATAAGGACAATTCAGTGGTGCGGGGTGGGGGGAGCTTTTTCAAGAAATTGTGCTGAGACAACTGGATATTTACACTTAAAAGAATGGAGTTAAATCCTTTCAAATACTCCACAGGACTCTGTTTTTAAAAAGGCCTGCCCTCAGGAGAAACTAGTTGATCAGAGTCTAACTTACTAGGGTATTATCAGAGCCTAACTGACATAGGTAAAGAGGAATACCCAATTCCAGCCCGAATATCCCACCTAAGAGGGGAAAAAAACTAAGAAATTCTTGTGAGGAGTTCAGAGTCAAAGCCTTGCTAGAAGACTGAAACTTAGTCATAGGAGTATGGGACACTTTCCCTTCCTCTCATCACCATATTACTAAGGCACATACAGCAGTTCCTTTTACTCAGTACATTATATCTGGCTATTAAGAAAAAAATTACAAGGCATATCAAAAGGAAAAGTTGCAAATGAAGACACAGAGCCATTATCACAACCAGACATGGCAAGGATGTTGGAGTTATTAGACCTGGAATTTAAAACAATGATTAATATTCTAAGGATTCTAATGAATAAAGTAGACAGTATGCAAAAACAGATTGGCAATCTAAGCAGAGAAATGGGAATCCTAAGAAAGAACCAAAGAGAAATGCTAGCAATAAAAACACTAACAAATAAAGAATGCCTTCAATAGGCTTATTAAGACTGGACAGAGCTGAGGAAAAAAACCTGAGCTAGAGGGTATTATTAATAGAATTCCCAAAAATAGAAAAGCAAAGAGAACAAAGACTGGGGGGGGGGGGGAGACCAGAATATCCAAGGACCGTGGGATCCAAGGACTACAAAAAGTGTAAGATACATGTAATAGGAATACCAGATGGAACAAAACACACAAGGAAAATGGAAAGACAATCCACAGAAAGGCAGAAAATATCTGCAAATCATTTATCTGATAAGGGACATGTATACAGAATATGTAACGAAGTTCATAACTCAACAATAAAGAGAAATAACTCAAGTTTAAAATGGGAAAAGTATCTAAATAGAAATTTCTCCAAAGAATATAAACAAATGGCCAATAAGCAAATGAGGAGATGCTCGAGATCACTAGCCATCAGGGAAATGCATACTAAAAGCACAATGAGATACACCTCACATCCACTAGGATGGCTACAGTGAAAGAGAAAATAAAACGCTGGCCCGGATGCCGTGACATTAGAATGCTTTATACATTGTTAGAAGGGATACAAAAATGGTACAGCCACTTTGAAAAACAATCTAGCAGTCCCTTGAAAGAATAAACATACTTATGATGTAACACAGCAAGTCCACTAGCAGATGTATATCCAAGAGAAATGAAAACATTACATTTATATACGAATTTGTACACAAATGTTCAACAGCAGAATAGCCAAAATGCAGAACCCCAAATGTCAATCAACTGAAGAACAGATAAACAAAAGGTGGCACATATCTACAAACTATTATTTGGCAATAAAAAGGAATGAAGTATTGATACATGCTACAATGTGGATGAATCTCAAAAACACTAGCTACATGAAAGAAGAAAGTTACAAAAGAACACGTATTTATGAAATGTCCAGAATAGAGTAGTGGTTGCCTAGGGCTGGGGGATAAATTAAGAGGAAACAGAGGTAACTATGAAAAAGTATGGGGCTTTGGGGATAAGGAAAATGTTCTAAAGTTGATTTTGGTGATGGTTGTGCAACTTGATGTATATACTAGAAACCACTGATTTGTGCAATTTAAATGAGTGAACTGTATATGTGGCATTAAAATCACATTAAAAATTAAAAATAAAAAAGACAAGAACCCAAATATAATCACATCCTAGTAGCAACAAGCAAAACCAGTTCCTCAGATCTGGTTTCAAAATTTTCAAATAAAAGGAATCAGGGATCTTTGGAGAAATACTTAATTCTAGATTTGAGGCAGGAAAAATACAAGATGAGCCTGGAGCA